ATTGCCTACTGGCCTGCTTCAATCCATATAAAGATCTTAGTAACTTGCAGACTTGGTTGGGCTTATCACTTTTGAAACCTGGAGGCAAAACCATGTATGTAGACATCCTCATCTAAGTCACCATGTAGAAAAGCATTATTGATATCAAGTTGTTGAATGTCCCACCCTTTAGCAACTGCCACAACTAGGAAAGTCTTGATGGTGGTCATTCTGGCAACAGGAGATAAGGTCTCTATGTAATCCAATCCCATTTGCTGAGTGTACCCTGTAACACCCCCGATTTCCATGCCAATTTAAAACTTAATCATGCAGATAATCTAACCATAATAAGTATACACAACGGAAGTCTAACTATAAAACATATGGAAAACTAAGAGTGTTATGCCACGTCCACACTAAGGTGAACGCACAGGCGAAAACAACATCCACACCATCAGTCTACAAAGGACAAGGTAAAACAATCCATAAGTCTAAATCCAACATAGGAGGCACACATGCCAAAACAAACTACAAGGTCTGAGGGATCTACATTATCCATCACTAGATCACGCTCGCCTCTACTCGGGACCTAAAAGAAACACATACATATATGGGACGACGCCCGGTCAGCGAATAATGCTGGTAACCCCACTAATACATGTGAAATATCATACATAGATAGGATATATATACAAAATCATTTGCGAAACGGAATATAGTATATATAAGTTCAAAGCAAAGAGTACAAGTAAATCACAAGACTCAATACACTCACAACGAAGACAAGGGAACACATCCCAAAACCACAAGAAGTACAACGACACACAAGAATGGCTCAAGATGTATTCTACCATCACTCAGTAGAATAACACCCGACATGCACAACACAAGCGAATCAAGAAACACACATTGGCAACACATGCCTTTGTGACAACACATGTCACAAATAGAGAAATACACAACAACGACAACACATGCCTTCGTGACATCACCCATCACGAATTGATATGCCTTCCATATGCCCGGTTCCAACCTTATGGCTACCCCCAACCTTATAGCTAATTCCAACCATTACCTCTAGGACCCTTGTACACCAAGTCCAACCTTTTCCCTCCGAGGACCGTCGTCCCCATCTGCCAACAATTCCACCAATTCATAGTACACGAGGGTACTGATCACACACATGGAAACACATGCCTCCCAAGAAATACATGAACCGACATACAGGTCACAAACTCCATAATCACGTCATGGCCACCACGAGGACCACTGTCGTACCTTGGTGACTAATGTCACATACCATTAATCGTGCAATCCAGGTACAACCACACACACAACACCATCATAGGAATCAATCAACGGATCACAACGAAGATATGAAACCATACTTAATCAAGGAATTGATCACAATACGACAACAACGATGATTAACACAAGTCATCATCCACAATGGAAAGGACAAACCACACACGCTAGCATTTAAACACCGAACTAGCATGCTTATCAAACGGATAAACCAAACATAGTTCCGAAGAACACACAAGACTCATCATGGTTCAACGAATCACAATATTGAACACTTAGCACGATTCAAGACACCAAAACCTACATGGAATCCTACCATATAGTTCTAGACATACGAAACATCAAGAAGACACTCAAATGGTTCCACAAAAGAATATCGGGAAGTCAACGGACCAAATACCGAGTCAAAAGAATCACGGGGAACAAATCCTCAACAAGCCACATATTGTACCCCACGGGTGGGTCCACGGGTGCACCCCCACCCGTGGTTCCGCCCGCGGGAACCAACATTCCACACCCTTGTACCCCGCGGGTGGGGCGGCGGGTGGACCCCCCTACCCGCAGTTCCGCCCGCGGGTACACAACCCTGTACCAAAAAGTCCCTTCGAGGATTTTCAACACCAAACTCAAATTCAAGTCCAAAACATCCAAAATCTCACCAAATACAACGAAATGACTTGAATCAAAGGAATAGCCAAGCAATGGCATACATGAACCCTAATAACAAGCTCTAGATATGCATTTTCACAAGACAATGCATCCACACTCATATTTCATAGCAAAATCATATGTAGAATCCAATAAATCATCATATAGGTAAGCAAAATAGATTTTGTAGAGCATGGGTTACCTCTTGAAGACAAAAACCTTCACTTAACACTTCTCAAAGCCCCTAACAAGGTTCACCTTCCACACCCACTTCATGAACACACCAAAAGATCATAAAGATTTCATCTTTAGGAAAAGATACCTTAGAAAACACTAAAAACACAAAAGGAACATAGATCTTACCCTCCTAGATGCTCAAGAGTAGGAAAGGTGAAATCTTGGAGACAAACTTTGAAGATCTTGGAAAGTCTAAACTTAGCTTGGAGAGAAAGCTAGCTAGGTTTCTAGAGAGAAGGAAGAGCTTTTGATTTCAAAGTGTTTTGAGAGAAATGAAAGATGTCTTCTAGGTTAGCTTGGAATACAATCATAAGGGAAATGTCTTCTTTACCCTTACTAAGATGAAAAAGTGTAAGGGAACAAGGGAACTATTCACAAAGCTTTAGGTACAACATCTTGACTTGGGTTGACTAGTCAATTGCTAGTCCCCGACTATTAAATTTTCAGGAATTTAAAGAATTAAATTACCAATTGGATTAGGATTAATTACTTAATTAATCCCTAAATAGAATTTGGATTTACGGGGTGTCACATACCCTTTTGCAACCAACCTAGCCTTGTATATTTCTATTGTGTCATCTACCTTAGGCTTTATTTTGTACACCCATCTACATCTAATAGGTAATTTTCCTGTGGGCAAGTCTGTCAGTGTCCATGTATTAGTCTGAACCAAGGCATCTATTTCAGACTGCATAGCCTTTCTCCATTCATCATGTTGCACTGCTTCATTGTAAGATTGTGGTTCATGTGTGGATATGTTATAGAAGAGACACGGAACTTATGCCCAGGGGACAGCTTTTCATGAGAAATGAACTTCTCTATTGGATGAGGGGAGGACCTCAGAGCAGACTTTTCACCCATCATAGACTGGCAATAGTAGTCATTTAGTCTGTGAGGGATAATCCTTAGTCTTGCTGATCTTCTAGGCTAATTAATATGGTCTGGTGAGGAGTTGTTGTGGATGTTTGGACCACTAGATGCCTCATTGTTTAATTCAACACTGTCAGTAGCTGCATGACTGATTGATTCATCATCACTTTCAAAATTTTTGCTTTAATGACTTTCATTTATGGGGCTGCTATTATCAATATTGTTTGTCACAATTCTAGGGGTGGCAGGCTCTAAGGGAGTGATTTCTGTTGGATCTTCAATAGAAATAGAGATTAAAAGTACTGAGGGACTGAGATCATCACTCATAGTTGAATGTGTGATTCCTGGCTCTTTGAAGGGATAAGCTTGCTCATAAAATTTAACATCTCTGGAAACAAACACAAGCTTGTCAGTAAGACCATATAGAATATACCCATTCACATTGGTTGGGAAACCTAAGAAAATAAATTTTCTTGCCCTTAACTGCATTTTATTTCTCCCTTGGGGAATAGTAGCACCAAAACACAAACAACCAAAACTTCTGAGTTGTTCATAATCTACCCCCTTTCTAGTTAATGTTTTAAAAAGGGGTATTCCCATCAAGCACATCAGTAGACAACCTGTTGATGAGATAAGATGCATGCAATACACAGTGATCCCAGAACTCTATAGGTAATCCAGATTGAAGCCTCAAAGACCTAACTACATTTAAAATATGTTGGTGCTTCCTTTCTACAACCCCATTCTGTTGGGAGTATATACATATGACTTCTGGTGGATTATACCTTTCTCATCATAGAATGTATTCATCATAAACTCAGTTCCATTATCAGTACTTACTATGGTGATGAAAATTGATCTACAAAAGGCTTATGATAGGCTGTCGTGGAGTTTCCTGAGTGACACCCTTGTTGAGATGGGCTTAAATGATCATTGGGTTAATATAATCATGAAATGTGTCATGACCCCGAGACTCAGTATCCTCTGGAAAGGCGAGAAATTGGACTGGATCAGGCCAACAAGAGGTCTCAGACAAGGAGACCCGGTTTCTCTTTATTTGTTTATGTTATGCATTGAGAGATTAAGTCAAATGATTAAAGAGGAAGTGCATAACAAAATAAGGAAGGGCGTAAAGTTATCCAGGTATGGTCCTGAACTAACCCATCTCTTATTTGCTGACGACATGGTTTTAATTCTAGAGGCTACAGTGGATCAGACCAAATGCTAGGTTTCAAGCAATGCCTTAGCAGATTCGAGTACATGTCTTGTCAAAAAGTGAGCCTCTAGAAATCTCAAATTCATTTCTCTAAAAATGTGGAGTTGTCACTTGCACAAAGAATCACGCAAGAGGCAGGTATTGAGAGCATGGAAAACCTTAGAAGATATCTAGGAGTTCCTTCCATCCATGGAAGGGTGATCCAAAACTTGTTTGCACCGCTCATTGATTAAATTGACACGATGCTGGAGTGTTAGAAGGGTCGTTACCTGACCTTGGCGGGGCGTACGATTCTTGCTCAAAGCGTCATGAGTGCCACTCCTTATTATATGATGCAATCCATCTATGTGCCGAAAGGTGTTTGTGATATCATTAAACGCAAGATTCACATGTTTATTTGGGGAAAGGGGACGCATTTGGTTAGCTGGAATACCATCACACTATCTAAGAAGAAAGGTGGACTTGGGTTACGAAGGCTAAAGGAGATGAACTTAGCCTTCTTAACCAAGATGTGTTAGAGGTTACTTAAAGAAGAAGATAGTCTTTGTACCAAAACCCTTATGGATAAGTACATGCATGGCAAAGACAACAAGCTAGGCTTCTATTGGAAAAATAGAGAGTCTAACTTGTGGAAGAGAATTTGTGAAGCTAATCGGATTTTACTTGAAGGGGATTCGGTGGACTGCGCATCACAAGAATAATAATATGGTGAGTACTGGAAGGACGCAAAGAACTGAAGGGCTAAATGGAGAAATCTACTAGAGTCCACAAAGCAACGGGAAGATGTTCAATATCATCGGCATACAACATTGCGATCAAGGATACTGACCACGTTACTACTGATAACTGGAAAGAAATTTGGAGAATTAAGGTTCCCAACAAAATTTGTAGGTTTATCTGGATGGCCAAACATAAATGGCTCATGACAAACATTGAGAGGAAGCGCAGAGGGTTCACTATAGATGCAAGATGCCCCAACTGCGATGCACTGGAGGAAGACGTTCAGCACTGCATCCGTGACTGCACCAAAGCGATGGAAATCTGGGAAGTGATCCTACCCTATGGGGCTAATAATTTTTTTTTTTTAACATGGACTTTGATGCTTGGCTTACTCTTAATGTGACAGGAAAACTGGAAGGATATAACAGAGATAATTGGAGAGAGCTCTTCACGCTTACGGCCTGGTGGATTTGGAAGTGGAGATACACCAACGTATTTAGGGAGGAATACTGAGACCGTAACATAAAGATCAAATGAATTATGGAACAGTATAAGGAAATGGTGAATGCTTTTGCGAGGAAGGAATCACCAGGAACCGTGCCTAAAGACAAAACGAACCGGTGGAGGCTTGCTGAGGGCTGGATGTCGCTACACACCGATGCCTCGTTCCATGCCCCTCACCTGCCTACTAGCTATGGTGCACAATGGAGAGTGGATGGGAGGCTTTAACTGCGTGACTAAAACGAGAAGTGCTATGGAGGGAGAACTCTGGGCAATCTATTTTGGCTTTCAATGGGCTTGGGAGACAGGGACGAAGAATATGAACGTGCTTAGTGACTCTAAAGAGGTTGTGGACTGGATCACTAAGGGCCCTGAACCCTTGGGTTCGTGCGGCTAGTTTCTGAGAATTTGCAAGGAGTGGCTCAACAAGGGGTGGGTGATGATAATTAACTACACACCCCGCGAGTTTAATAATGTGGCGGACTGGCTGGCCAAGGTTGCGCCTTGAAGGAACTGCGACTGGATCGAGTTTAATGTCCCCTGATAGCATTGGGGACATTATTGCTAAAGATAGAGATTTGATGGCTTCCCACGAGGGTAGCCTGTAGTGTTTCGTTCTCTAGGATCACCCCCTCCCCCCCTTCCCCCAAAAAAAATATTGATTATTACATTTGTGCTTTGAAGTATTATATTTATGCTATAAAGTATTATATTTAATGCTTAAATTATTAAATATATCTACCTATAAATTGTGCATTAGATTTGTGCTATGAATTGAAATATCACATTATTTATGCCAGTATTATATATGAGGCTTAAAGTATTAATTATATATTTGTGCAATGAAGTATTAAATTTATGCTATAAAGTATTGTATTTAAAGTCTAAAGTATTGATTATTACATTTAATTTGTGCTTTTGAAGTATTACATTTACGCTATAAAGTATTATATTTAACTAGTAATTCACCCGCGCGATGCACGGGGAAAAATTTATGTTATTATAAATATAAATAAAAAAAATAAAAATAAAAATATTTTAAATTGTTTAATATAATAATATTTTTGAGCTTCCATTGGTCAAGTATTTATTATTTTTATAGAATACAAAATTATAATTAAAATTTTGTATGGTTAATATAATCTCTAATTATGTACATATTCAAATACTTTGGGTAGCTCAACTGGTCATAGAGGTGAAACTTTGGAAGAATAACCAGGGGTTCATGTTTAGTTGAGTCACCAGGCTATGGGTCACCACCCAAATGCTCTGTCGGGCTGGGGTGTGGGAGCAACCTCTCAAAATGTGAAGGGGGTTCCTTGTGCATAGTGAGCACCGGTCTAGCCTCTATGGTTCGGTTCAGTTGGGTCACCATGATTTACTGGAAGAATGTACATATTCAAATAAACTATTTTCTATTAATCGGGAATCGGAATCCTTAATCCTAATATCATAACATTTAATAACTCCATTAATTCAATAAATGTAATCCTTTGTTATGGGCGAGAAAAAAAAATAACTATTTTATTTTTCAAATGTTGTGCTTCTTTTTCTTTTTTTTTTTTAATAGTAAAAGATGTTGTGGCTATTTTATATTTATAGCTAGTAATAATAATAATGTTGGTAATTAATTATAACATTAATTATTTCCCAACCATATAGCTTTATTATATGTAAGATGCTTATGGTCCACTATTATCTGGTTGTTCCCTTATGTGGGAGGTTTAAACTTCGAGCCTCGGTGTAGGCGTAGATTATATATATGAGTATCCCCCTTCCTTTTAATAAAAAAAAGTATTAAATATATCTACTATGCTTAAAGTATTGATTATGTATTTGTGCTTTAACCACTACTACAAAAGTAACATATAACATTGGTTTTTCTAAAATCGACATCAAATGTCAATAAATATATATTACTTTTTACGTCGATTATTTAAATAACCAATGTCATATGTTTATTTTTTAAAAAAAATTGAACATTTAACGTCGGTCCTCAATGAAACTGATATTATATGCTCATTTATTTTTAAAAAAAAAAAAAGAATTGAAGATATAGCGTCGGTTCCTAGCAGAAACCAACGTTATATCTTTAAATTTTTTTGATAAAAATTAAGCATACAGCTTCGATTCCCCTTAGGAATCGACATTTTATGCTTATTTAAGAAAAAAAAATTGTATACATACAATGTCGGTTCTGTAGGGAACCGACGTTATATGTTTATATCAAGTTTTTATATATATACCTATCAGTAGCGTAAAGCCCTAAACACTTAGGCTCTGTTTGGCAAAGCTTATTTAGGAGCTTATAGTTTATTTTAAGCTACTAATAACTTATAAGCTCTGTTTGGTAATGTTCCTAAAATAAGCTCCTAGCTTAAAATAAGAGCTTATTTTGGAACGCTACCTTAGGTAGCGTTTCAAAATAAGCTCCCAGCTTCCTAACTTTTTTTTTCCAACTTTATCCTTATTATTTTAAAAAATGACATAATTTATCCTTCCTAATTAAAACCCTTTTCTCTTCCCCGCAACTTTCACCGTAAATAATAATAATAATAATAATAATAATATTACTTTTAAAATGTTAATGATTTTTAAAGACCAAATGTTAAATTTTAATATGTAAACAAACTAATTAATTTATATTTTATGAAGATGTCCTTTTTAGTCTTTTTACATTTATCAACTTATCAAAAAGTTAATTTTACCAAACACTTTCAATCATAACAGCTAGCTTAACAGCTTTCAACTCTGAGCTTATAGCTTTTCAGCTTTCAGCTCATTTTCAGCTTTTAGCTCCTAACTTATAGCTTTTCAGCTAGGTTTGCCAAACAGAGCCTTAGTAAATTTTTAGGGGTGACGGTGGTGGGAGTAGTTTACAAGAGCAGTTGAGCTCCGTTTTCCTCTACTTCATCGCCGCCTCGTCACCCACCTAGAAATGCTTCAGGAAATTCATGTGCTTGGGGATCTGATGCCACCACGTGAAGATCTCGTTCAAGTACCCGCCGTTGTAGGATTTAATCTCAACTCGTCGATGTGATCCATGAGGAGCCGGAACATGCAGTTGGACGACTCGATCCATGAGGGTGCCATTGTTCCCCGTTGTCGAAATCGCCCGTCCTAAGTCATTTTTTTTTTTAATAAAAGATACGACTCAGACCGACGTCGTATCTTGATTTTTTTTTTAAATGGCATACGACGTCGGTTTTAAAAACCGAAGTCGTATATTTTATTTACTACGTCGACGAGAACAATGTCGCAAAATAACCGACGTTAAAAGTATTTTTTTTGTAATAGTAGAAGTATTACATTTATGCTATAAAGTATTATATATGAGAAGTATTGAACATATTTTTGTGTTTTGTCTCTGTCCAATTTCCATAATGCATGCATCAAAGCATATATGGGAGGGAGCTTAAGTTGCCAATGTTGCCAAAGATTAGAAGTAGCCAGCCATTTTTGTACATGATAGGTGAGATGCTCATCAATGGAATTGAAGCTTCATCATTTCCATCACATGCAACACAGGTTTTCACACTCCATATTAATAATATTTTCTGAAAATATAATAATGAATTAGAAACCTCATTACTATTACGATTCTAAATTTCTAATTCATTAATAATATATATATGTACGTAATGTATGTATGTATTATATATTTATTTGTTTTTATTTAAATTAATTAATTATTTATTTATTTTTTATTCCAATTCGTATTTACTAGCAAAGAAAGTGACTCTATACACTTACCATTACTTAGTATTTGATTCTCATTACTATTGCGATTCTAATGTTTGAACCAAACACACCTTAAAGTTCAGGGGCTATTTATGTGTGCTATCTGAACTTTGGGGACTACATAGGCAATATATATACCAAAAGATGCAATTTTTCATAGTTTTCGCACCAAAGAGATCGCGGGAACACAATTTGTATTTATGATGTCGCTTTGACTTGATTCTCATCCCAGTCAAGAACGCCTTTCCGTCCTGTATAGATCCTGGAAGAATTCTACGTCGCCGATCAGTGAATTCCAGGTTCCGTTCTTCATTTACATCCAATAACCTTCCATTAGTTGCAACAAATTTCATCTTTTTTATTTAATTTTTTTCGAAAAAAGTACTGATTTTACTTTTCAGAGCGAGATAACTTATTTTGATCCGAATCAGTTATTTCTAGGGTTTATATGAGATTCGAAGTGATTTTTTAGTTTTTTTTGCATTAATTTTTTGTTGTAGCAGTATAATTGCGTTATGTTTCTCAAAATTGGGTTCTTTGGATTTAAATCTGTTTATTAGATCGTAATTTTCTTCTATGTTGTAGTTGAATTATTGTGTATGTATCATTACTGCTAGCGTGATTATTAATGACTAGTTCTTTCTAGGTCTTTATATTTCGTTAATTTGGTGTTATGCTTTGATTCAACTTGTTTGCTGTTTATAAGTGCTAGTATCCAGATCAATTAACTGTACAATTGAGGAATAAAGATCTATTGTTGCCTGTTTTTTTTTTTTTTCTTCAGAAAAACTTAGTACGAAGTGATGGATGGTAAGTTTCTTATGCAACATTCCAAAGGGCAGTATCCTTTTCTGGATGCAGTATGTTATGTTGATAACAATGAGGATATTGATCCGTCTGGTCCGAACAGGTTCTCTGAAATGCATCTTCTTTCTCATTTTTTCTTTGTGTAAATCATTGTCTTAGTCTTCTGCTCTACCTACATTCTGAAAGTTTGTATTCTCTGGCTAAAAGTGTCGAAAAGACGAAGAGGGGATCAAAAGTTGTTGGTGGAGGCCTGCGGCAGTACAGTAACATGGGTCAGTGTTTATCTAACAATTTCTCTTTTGATATATATTTTTGCAATCTTCCCAAATGGTTCATACATCACTGCTAAAGTTCTGTACATGTATATATTTATTCTCTTTTTCATATTTTGCATAGCTGTTTGCAGTTTTTGGAAAGATAGGTGTAACACGCCTTATATTTTCCCCTTTTTTTCAGTCTGTATGAAGGTCAAAGACAAGGGAAGAACCACTTACAGTGAGGTATTTACGTTTCTTTTGACCTGTATAGCCAATTGCCATGACCTCCGCAAAGAGGGTCATAGTTGGATCAGTGTCAATCTGACCTTTATAATCTTCCCAAATGGTTCATACATATCTGCTACTTAATTACTTATGCACATTACTGATGGCTCTTGCATGCATATTTTGTGATTATTGATA